ATACTAGCAAAGTTCTCTTTTTCTATTGACTTAAATTGAATCAAACCGAATTTTGTTTTTTTGGTTCATTATTGCTGATTTTATGTATCACTAAAAGCTGCTCACTGGCATTGCAGATAACCGTTTTGGATAGAGAATATCTTAAACCGACATATACGTTTGTTACCGTTTATGTTACCAAATGTGGCAATATGTCGGAGCCGACGCGATTGGAACGAATGAAAAAGTTGGTGGCAATGTTTGAAGATTTACCGGAATGTAAGGGCAAAATATTCACCAAATTTTGGATACGCGACTATGAATCATTTTTGGACGTTGTGAGGGAGGACGAAGGCGAAAGTGGTTTAGCGCCATACAGTGAAGAAAGTATCATGCAATTTGCCAGTTGGCCAGAATATACACATTGGGGTGGTTTTCTTAAATTCAACGAAACTACACATACGTTAGTTGTTTCTTTTTACTTATTATCCTGACTTTTAAAATTTTTGGTCACAGAAGTAAAAAAAGAAAAGAGAGGAAGAAGCTATAGACTGATTCAACAAATCTGAAGACAGATTTTATGCCGGTTATTGAAAAAGTGAATATTAGAAGATGGAAATAAGCAATTGGATAATGCCAAATAAAATTACCAAGTTTTACCTGTTTAGTTTATCACAGTTTATGCTTACTGTCGCATATCAGGGTGAAAACCAAGCAGAATGGTCAGAGCGACTTCGTATGCTTAAAACATGGCGTGGAATTGCTGATCAGTTTCCGGTTTTCGTTTTTCTTTTTTTAATGCAGTTTATAAACAATTTTTTCAAGATTAATACGAAAAAAAGATAAATGTTTTGCTTTTTTGACATTTTGATTGCTTCGTAGTTTTGACTGCGAAACAGTTTTATATATTGTATGATTCGTTTGCAGGATTTGGGTGCAGCCATCTATGAGGAAAATTCCTTGTTTACAGACCAACTTGAATCAATGATACCCCAAACCATTCAGTCATCAATTATGACTTTGATCTGTATGGCAATTGTGTGCTGTGTATTTATGTTCAACTTTTTGACAGTCACTATTGCCGTAGCTTCAATCACTTCCATATGTTTGGGTAAGATTGGTATTTGGTTTTTTACTGTTATGAAATTACAGTTAAACTACAAGAAACAGCAGTTTTAATATGACAAATAATATTTGATCAGAAATGATCTAGTTAAAAATTTTTTTTCAGGTGTATTTGGTTTGATGACACTTTGGGGTATTGAAATTGATCCAATTTCTGTATCAACATTAATCATGTCTATTGGATTATCGGTTGATTTTCCGGCTCATGTAACTTTCCATTACTATCGTACAGGGCTTTCCCCGACAATGAAAACAGCAAAAGAACGTATGGTTCATACATTGTCAATAATTGGATTTCCATTATTCCAGTGCAGTGTCTCAACAATTTTATTAGTTCTCAGTCTACTATTTGTCACCTGTTATATGACGGAGGTTGGTTTCCTAACTGTATATGTGTGTTTTTGTGTAATTTTTGACTCTTCTGACTGAGCGTTTGAATTACTTGTTGATTTTAAATGGCTGTGAAAATAAAATATCTCGATGGTAGAACAGCTAAAATTCGTTTTTCTGACTATCGAAAATAAAGCAACAAAAGTGCAGAATATTATTCTACCAGTGAATCATATGTAATTTGTATTAATAATACTTGACACTAAAAAAAGAACAATCATTTAAATCATTGTTTAATTTTATCGTTATATCTTAATGACAAATTTTTTTAGGTATTTATAAAAGCCGTTGTGTTGGTTGTATTATTGGGGATAGTCCACGCTCTTGTAGCTGTCCCTGCAATATTATGTACACTTTCAAATCTGCATAATTTCTTTAGTGGATTTTCTTTATCGAAGGTAACTTTCAACAGCTGATCATATTATTCAAAGGACAATTGTTAAACATAGAGATTTGTCAATTTATAGATAGTGAGACTTATAAGCAATTTAAAAAAAAATTGAAGTATACTAA